ATATTTTACTATAATTTATGTATTTTGAACAAATTAGCAATACATTGGGTTTTTTTATAATATCAGATGTTTTATATGCTATTAAAACCAGAGAATGTAAATCTGAAGTGAACACAGAGCCATTGACTATGAACAGTCTCATGAAACACACAGAGGTCACACACTGGGGAATCCATCCTCCTGGAAAATTAACTCATCCATGTCCTTAATGTCCAGTGTAGATTTCTTTCAAAAATTAGATAATGTACCTGTTCCCTTTATCAATTTCATTTTGTATTTCCTTCCACTAACTGATCAGTTGCAACATAAGGTTAAAGCTGTATCATGGAGTTAATTGCATACTGTGAAATTACAGGAGGAAATAGTCAATCACTTTGCTTCTTGTTTCCAAATGTTATTCAGCATATGAAGTGGGACTTGTGTGGATTAGAATATCAAATCCATATGACAGTGGTTTTCTTCTTGTACCATGTGATGAAGAAAAATGATGTTACAAGGAAAGAATCCTGGATCCTGGATCCAATGATGTTTTTCTCCTTTTTACAGATTAATTTTGAGTATTTATTAATATAGTTTTTTTCCATTTGTGCCAGTCTCTTCTCAATAATTCTTTAAGTACTTTATTAGCATCCTTGACTTGCAGAAATATCACCTTGGATCTGAATTCTCTGCAATAAGAGATCAATCTGATCCAGGTAAAACATATCTGAGGTGCTTAAAGCATCATTATTAATCATTTGGTATGTTCAAAAATTTTACTATATTTTTTACATTTTTAAGGCTGTGAGCTTCTAAAGATAAATTCTTATGTATAAGGAATCTAGAAATAATAAAGTGTGATTTTTTTCCGCAAACCTCAGTGGTAGGTAGTGACGCAGGTGAATTTTAACTATGCCGTTTATCTTCATAGTCTTATAGGGTCTGAAAACTACTGAAATAACATTTTCTGAAGGCATACAATTTTGTTACAAATTGTTACAGGTTTGTTTCTCTTCCTTTAGCTTCTTGAGTAATCTGATTGCCAAATCTGACCTAAACACTTGATCATTTATTTGATATTTTGTCTCTCTCTCCTTTGCTTCTTTTAATGTAGGCACTTAACGCTATAAATTACCCTATCACACAAGATTTAATTTGTTGTGTTTTCATTTTTAAAGTCTTCAATGATCCCTTGGTGGTGCCATGGCATGTAAATTAATTTTAGTGCATATCTAAATATTATATTGTTATTGTGGGTTTTTTAAAAAGAGATTTGTTTAGTTATTTGAGATACATGGTTACAGGGAGATACAAAGAGACAGAGATCAGGAGAGGTATCTGCAGATTTGCTCTCCAGATGGCTCAACAGCCAGGGCTGAGCCAGGCTGAAGCCAGGAGCTTCTTCCAGATTTAGTTTTGAGTGGCGGGGACTCACAGAGTTGGGCCTTCTTCCTCTACTTTTCCTAGGCTTTTAGCAAGGTATTGGATTAGAAGTGGAATGGCCGGGACAAAATCAGCATCTGCATGAGATGCTGCCATCATAGACAATGGTTTTACCGACTGTGCATAGTACTGTCCTTTGTTCTTCCTGGTGTTGATTTCTAATTCTATTCCCTTGTATTCTAAGAAGAAATGTGGTATGATTTCAGTGGTTTACAGCTACTAAAAGCTAAGTAGTGACCTAGTATATGGTCTATCCCTGAGGATACTTCGTATGCTGATAAGAATGTGTATCCTCTAGCCATTGGATTAAATGTTCTGTAGATGCCTGTTAAGACAGATCCGCTTAATAGTATGGATCAACTCCAATATATCGTTTTGATTTTCTGTCGTGATAATCTTTTTGTTGGTGATAGAGGGGTACTGAAGTCCTCCACCATGATTGCATTAGAGTCTATATGAGATCACATGGGATCTGTGTCAGAAGAGATTGATACATGTGTTGATTCTCTTGCTTCGTACTAGCTGATGTTTTTATGCATAATAGTGCATTAATCATATCTTCTGTTTGACATAAGGCCAGCATTCATGCAAAATACAAAATACGCTTCTAAAAGCAAAAGCTAAAACCTAGCTTCTTTTAGCATTCTTTTTCTTTAGCTTATCTATTGTCTACCGCTCCCATATTTACTGACATTTTCTGTGAAAATCCCTTTTTCTCGTTTTCTCTTATCTCTACCTTAACTCCATTTAATTAAAAGTACAGTTGCTTAACAAAATTTCTTTCTGAACTACTGTCTGATGTTTGTAAAAGTTACAGTGAGGTTTTGCTCAGTTTAAAAATATCATATAAATATAGCAAATTCAAAGATGATACAAGAATATTTATTTATAATATCCTAATAGTGCTGTAAATAAGAGACCTTTATAAGGGGTACAAACCTAAATCCAATCTGCTAAAATAGTTACATGAGTTAAGGTAAGCATTTATGAAAGAACAAACAGAACATTTAAAATTACTTGTTTTTTCTTTCTTTTTTCTTTTTTAGATTCATTTTCAAACTACTTAGCTTTCAGGGGAGTGACCAAGGGCTGCACTATATAAATAGAAAAGTAATGCATCAAGGAATAAAATCTGATGTGAGAAATTACTAACGGTTATCTTAGACAGTGTCTCATTAAAATAATGACCTTGAAGTGAAGAAGAGATCTATTTGGGAAACTTAAAATTTATTTTTATGTGGAGAAGCACATAAAACCTAGACAATTAACTAATACTGGATTCAAAGGGAAATGTAATTTGTTTTCAAATGTGTGATGAAAATGTGTGATGGTAACGTGACTTGCCACCAAATAATTAATTGTGGTCTTTTTCTCTAATCTAGGTTAGTTTGACATTCCTCTAATCAATTAGCCTGTGCCATGCATCTTTTTCAGAGCTCCACTGAGCATATACATTCATAATTTTAAATGAGTTCAACTGATGTATTGCCATGAATGTGTGATGCTGAAGTTCAGTATTTTGTAGAGTCTCAAATTAGTTCTTCATTTGAGAAAGTATCAGGCAATAGATCAAAACTTGATTTGTAATTGCTCAGTAGTGCATATATATGTGTGTGTGTCTGTGTGTATACATATATATATATGTACTGCATGTATATTTACAAGTTATATTGCAAAATGTATGAAAGAACTTTAATGTGAATTAACTGAATAAATTGCATTACTTGTTGTAGCAGTAGCTTTAAAAATTGTAAATGTGATATGAACAAGAAAAACCCTTCTGATATTTCAGTATGATATCAAAAAGGTGTTAAGGCTGGGTGGGACCATAATGCATGTTTGAAAAATTAAGATTTGTCTCAAGATTGATGTTCAGATTACTGTTTCAGCCTGTAAAGACTGCAGGACATACCTAGGTTAGTTAACGCATCAACTTCCTTATAGAAGCGGCATCAACAGCCACCACCCACATGTGAAACAATACATGTCCAGTACTTAACTCATTAGGAAAGTCAGGAAATAGCCATAGCCAACTGATCATTTTTGGCTCTGCCCAAGTGAGAAGTAAGCTTAATTGTTAATTTAGTGAGGCGTTTTTGGAGTAAAATACAGACAGGAAGAATGATACATTAATAATGTCTAGGTGTTCAGAGAAGACAGGGATGATATTACCAAGGGACAGGACTGTGTAAAGTACAGTCTCCCTGAGGAGCACTAATGAAGTGGAAGTACATTCTATGACTGCTGAAGCATGCAAACTTGAGCTTCTTCGTCCATGTTTTCTGCAGGAACATCTGTATCTACCATGAGGTCTCCATGCTCAACAAGTATTTCAAAAGAGCTATTGCAAATCGTAGATATCCAGGTTACAGCTTCTCAGCATGGTAACATGCCCCTGCTTGGATACTGGTATCCAAGGCAGAGCACTGCATCTGCACTCAGCTGATTCCATCCCAGGGCACATTTGTACTCTTAAAATGATTGGATCTCTGTATATATATAGGTTGTACATCTCTAGAATTACAAATCAAGCATTAAATCAGTGAAATAGTACATAAAAAGTTAGTCATTTTAAAAGGATACCACATAACCTACCATCTATTATAAGTAGAATATTCTATAGAATAAAGCTGTCCCACAAAGAGAAAAGTTAGTGACCTTGTATTGAATTTTTGGAATTTAAAGAATGAATTAAAGAAATAAAAAATCTTTACTGTTGCCAAGTAACATTTTGGGTGAAATATAGAAAACGAACTTGATTCGATGAAGTTGGAAAGCTGGACAATGAGGACATCAGGGTCCACTGATCACACAACGTGAACCACTAGATGAAAAGCAACATGAGAGCTCACTAATCTTGAGAACATTGTAATACCTGGCTGGTAGATTATAGACAGCAAAAATCATTTCCGGTTGCTTAGCATTCATATAACTGTGTTTTTTCTTTTTACTGGTTCAGACCAAACTCTAAAGAGAAGATACTTTTAACTCTCTTACATGAACCCTGGACTACAATAGAATACTCATTAGATAAGTTTTGTGGCCCTACAAGCACTTGAAACATTACCATTAAAATAGATTTAATGAATATGGTGTTACATACTCCTTGATTTGTAAAAGCCAATGATAACATGGAGTAAGAAGAGCATTCATTTTATCTGCATAATTGTGCTTACACATCATTGGTAAAGGCACAATAAGGCCAGCCTAGCATTGCCAGAGTGATACCATATGTTAATATGTCTGTTAAGCTGAAAAACAAGAAACAGATCTGTTTTATTAATTCCCATTTCTCCATCTCTGTTCTATCTCACCTTTCTTGATTTTTTGCCTCATTGCCATATTCATTAAATCCCTTTCCAGTAGTAGAATTATCTACTGTTCACTGAGTAATGTCTCATTGTGAGTGTGGTATTGCTCAGAGGCACAGGTATCCTCAACAAGTGGAATAGGTGGAGACAAATAGTTCCAGCAGCTGGGGCTGGGACAGGCCTAGGCCAGAAGCCCGGGATTCATCCTAGTTTCTCATGCAAACAGCAGTGCAAGCGTACTTACATCATTCTCTCTTCCTTTGCTAGGTTCATGAGCAGGAATGTGGACAGAAGCAGAGTAGCTGGGAATCCAATCAATGCTCCGATAGGAAATGTTGGCATCTCAGGAGGTGGATGAACCCAGGGAGCTACTGGACCAAATGCTGGACACGATAAGTATTGTCTGTGTTCATATACATATATGTGTGTATGTATATATACATTTAGGCACACTAGTTCACTCAAACACCCAACCTGTCATGTTCCCTAAATCAGAGGCATTTTTCTGCATTTAACTGTATAAAATTTATTATCATAGGATTTATAGATTAATATTCAGAGCCAGTGTTAAAAATTTAAGAATATTCAGTGATTTATCTCTGTTTCTCTTCTTCCACAGTTCTTGGTACAAAGAGCATGAATGATGTTAAAAGATTAGGAATAATGCAGCCTGTACAGCAGTAGTCACAGCTGTGGCAGAGCAGGAAGAAGCATGGAGGTCAGGAATTAGACATAGAATTTAGGAGTCTAAAGGAAAGCAGCTCTTACAAATTGGTGATGAGGATGAGGGGGAAAAAGAAGGCAAGCAGTTTGACTTCATGCAGATAATGCTGTTTTTAAGAGAGCAGCTTCAAACTCTGTCAAAAGAATCAAAATAACTTGCAAAAGAAATAATTATTGCTTACTGAATATCACTGTGTAAATAGCAATATATACTTCATCACATTATGATGATTGTCTTATCCCTCACTCTGATTTTAGTATCTGTAATTTCAAGGAAAAAATCATATTTATCAATGTGAATGTGTGTGTTTAGAGCAGATATAGCAAAATGGTAAACAAGCTATTTAATGCTAAAAAAGCAAACAGGGTTATTCTTTTCCAGGGATTTCAACAAACAGTGAAAAAACTGACTACATGATTATAAACAAATGCATTATGATTTAAATTAATACACCTGGAATCAAATGTATGAACTTTATATTCAACCTATGACTCTTTAAGCTTATAGGACATTGAGCCCTAATTAGGTATCACTAAATAGTGGTGTGATGGGAGCTAGAGTGCATAGATTGTCACCTTCAGAAGTGGACAAGGGCACATACTTCTTAATCAAATACTGCAACAATGGAAAGCTCCAGAGTGCTAAATGTGTCACGATTGAATTTTAAGCTAAAACTCTGAATCTCCAGAAAAAAATAAATGAGTATGTTTGATCAAAGATAACTAGAAGTTTCATTCAATATAATAAAGTGCATGTGTGTATTTTCCTAAAATCTGGAAATAATGCAATTCTCACATACTTTTGAACACATTTGTGTATACATAATGGTGGGCTTGGGGGCCTGTAGAGCTTAAATTGTTATAGAAAAAGAAAACTACATATTGAATGAGAACAAAGCAAAGGGAGAGATGTGCTTGTTAGCCTTATTGCTGTAGAAGTGAGCTGTTTGTATGGAAAAATATATATATTGAATTCCACGTGAGCGTTACACAGGTAAAGAGTATCTTGTCTAAAATACATTTTCCCGCCAAAGAATCCAAATGGGAGTGTATGATTTATCTCTGTCTTTCATTCCTTGTCTATCTGTATTTATGTATCATCTATTTGTTTCTATAAGCATTTGTGGTACATAAGTAATTGTAAGTGAGTACACCAGCAATTATTTAGGTCTGGATATCTTCATAATTGTCAAGTCAATATGCGTATGTTTTAGCTTTTGGAAAAAAGTAAGAGACTTTTGCTATTGCCGATATTTGTTTTCCTTTAAAATTTCCCAAGGCAAAATGCATAATACATATAATGAGTCAGAAATGATCGTTATTCATTTACAGGCTCTCCACTTATAGTGAAATCATGTTGTTTTTAGGTCATTGTATAATAATGTTTCTGGTATACGTGGATTGAATAAAGCAACTTTCAGTGCCAAGGTTAATGTTCCAACTTCAGGTAGTTGCTTTGTTGAATTTTGTTAAATATTCTTGAGCTTCTCTAACCCTCTGAGACAGACTGTAATGAAAAGGAATTTAATTAGAGTGTGCTGGGAATGCAATGTGATACATTAAGCTTTTTATTAAGAAAACTGGTGCTGAACCACTCTTATTGGTTTTTGAAATCATCCTCTTATATAAACACGATACACATGTGTGCACATATGGACAATGAATATAAAAGAGACTTACTTAGCAAAAGACCTTAATTAAATCAAAGTTTACATCAAAAGTGATTTTAAAGGGAGAAAGATTCCTCATACATGTAAAATTCAGAAATGAAGCTCCTATTTTCACTTCCAAACTATGGTGCAAATGTAGTTGTGTTTTGCCTGTCATGGTCTATGGAATTCAGCACCCCCACAATTAATTTCAAAGGCAATTGGTAGGATATTATTATCAGGTTAGTCTGTTAATGTGAAATCTGTCAAAAGGTCTGGAATTGGAAATCACACAGATGCATGTGAAATTCTAGTTAAAAATGCCTTTAACCCAAGGATTTGACCAGTGTCAGTGCTGTTTATAAAAGGCAACTCTGAAAAGTCAATTAATCCCATTCAGCTAATGATTTGTGGCAGTGCATCATTCATGTTCTAGAATGAAAACAATACTTCTCAAACAAAATTCCAATTCAGTAAAAGCATGTCAGTCTCAATGAGTTAATACATTTATTTTTAATATTATATGAATGTTAGTTTCAATGAGATAGTAGATTTAATATTATGTGAATAACAATAAAAATGTTAATAGTCTTGGGAATAAATCTTATAAGAGGCAAAACTATCTTGCAGAATTTTAAATTGAGTTTTGGATAAATATCAATTTTTTTTCTTATTTGTCTTCATTTCATTAATTTTCTTAAAATTATTTACCTTCATTTCATATAACTACTTATGGGTAATGTCTTAAATAGCAGCTCAAATTTAAATGTAATCATGATTATATAAGCCACTACTATAATATTTTGTGGTATTTATATTTATTATAATGTTTTATTATATTTATAATATGTATAATAACAATAACAGACTGATAAAATGTGTTGATTATATTTCCTAAGTAATTTTTTATCTCTTTTTTGGGGGGTGTAAATATAGACAATGCTATTACAATAACCACCTAGCTTAATCCTTCATCATTGGACTATCTGAATTTTCCACTTCACTACATTTTTACAGATATTCAAAGCTCTGGGAGGAAAAGATGGCACAATAGGGTGTGGACAGGTTTAAACAGCTGATTTATGTTCCATGATTGTTAATTTAATATATTAAATTTCATCTTTTTAGATGAATACCACTACCACTTCACCTCCATTTTTGCTATACAAACGTTTTTCCAAAAAATATTGATTCATCTTAAATTATTTAAAACTGGCAACTACAATTTTTAAAATGTGTTCAGTGTAAATTTGTGTGACTTTAAGTATATTATTCTCAGAAATGCAAATCCTGTTGAGAAGTAGACATTATTTTTAGAGTTGATATTTAATGGTGCCTGGGAAATCTAATAATCAACATTGCCATATACATCATATAGATTGTATCATAAAATACACAAAACACTATACATTATATATTTATATATAGTATATATAATATAATATATGTTATATAGCATGTATACTATATATAGAACACACAACTACTACAATATATAGTATATATTCTATAGCCATATATACATTTACTATTTATAATGCATATATACCTATATACTATGCATACTCTATACATATATCTACTATACAGATGAGATCGGATGCGTTCAGGGTGGTATGGCTGCAGACTATATATAATATGTAGCATATACACTATATGCATATTATAGTAGGTACTGTATAGTAGATATATATTATATATGTATTATGTATGGTATATATGCATATGCATATATATACATGTATACTGTATTACTATGATATATCATACTGTATAAATCACATATACTATATATACTATAGTATATATGCTATATACTAGCATATTTATATAGTAATATGGGATATATAGTATATATTTGTAGAACATGTAGTATGTGATATTATTTATAATTATAATCTATCATAGTATATATTATATATAGTATATAATATATTGCTGAGAGATGTTTTAATATATTATATTTATTGCCCAAGAAATTGTACCAAAATAATACATGATTCATTTTAGTTAACTTATCTTTTAATCAAAAACACACTTAAAAACACATTTTTAAAAATTTAGTGAGAATCTTTATACTTCTCTGTTCATATATGTTTGTACCTCAATTTTTTATTCATAGAGATTATAATAAAGTAAATAAAGAGGTTGAAAATTCTAATGACTTTTCTGAAGTGCTCCATCTTGCAATATTTATGATACATAACTTTAGATACGATGATTATCAAACTTAAGTCCTAAGAAATACTTCATAAAATTTATGTATTTTAAGTTAGTAATCTAATAATGCATGAAGGATGGGCAAAGGTTAACATTTAACATAATATTATTGGGGACAAGCAGGCACTAAAGTTATCTTTTGTCTGAAGGACACATATCCATAATAGTTGAGAATAACTTAGTTTTAAAAATGAAATATCACATAAGGTGGCAAGACAGAAATTTTTTGGCATACAAATCGTGAAGAAGCATAAAAGAGAGCTGTGATTAAATCAGATCCCAGTTTTCTGCAGTTTGTTGCAAGATAATTGTGTATCTGTGGGGCAGATAATAAATTGGTCCGTATATACAGTAGGATTTTCTTTTGCTAAATATTTTGAAGGAGATCATAAAATAGAGTGTACAAAACATTACCTTGTTTGTAAAACTTCAGGAAATCACAAAGTTATGTTTAAAAAGGACAAACTCTATAACTAGTTCGAAGAAGTTCTCTCAAATTTAGTTTAAGTAGTTCAAAGCTTACAGTCAAATATTTAAAACCAGGTAAGAAAAAAGAGTAACATGAGTGAAATAATAAAGAATAGAAGCAAAACCACAAAGCAAAATCAGGAGATAATGAAGGAAGGAAATGAATAGAACAAAATGTTGTATAATAACATTGAAGAAATAAAATGCCTGAACACATAGGAAGAAATGAAAATGTTGACAAAATATTTTGAGAGGGAAGGATAACTTTCTCTTTCTCTATAAAATATCTTTTGTTTTTAAAAAATTAACTGGATTTTGTATTATCTATGCCATAATACTGATTAAGTAAACAGACATCCTTTATTTTT